GGATCGTCGATGCCCGTTTCAAAACGTTCGGCTGCGGGTCGGCCATTGCCTCGAGTTCGCTGGCGACCGAGTGGGTCAAAGGGAAAACGGTAAGAGGCCCTGCCAGAGGCAGCGGTGACAACACAGCCTTCAAAGCTTTCAACCTCCCTGTGTTCTCTGCTGGGATCGTACAGGGAACAGCCCAGGAATCCTAGCCCTGTGTCCAGTGGCTGAGAAAGCAGCGAGTGTTGTCAGGCTTGTCAGCAGCCTGATCTCCCAGGGCTATAATTGCCTTTTTCAAGAACGTCCTTTAATCTGCAGAGAAGGACTACAGAGCTTATGCAACAAGTGAAAACATGCTGATGCTGCACGATGGGCTCTGGCAGAAAGCTTAATTATGGGGCATATTGAGAGAGTTTAGACTTCTCTTTCTGCCAGAGGAGAAATACACTTTTTAGGATTAGGGTAGAAGATAAGCAGACTTCAAGCAGCCCATCTGGTAACGTTCAGTCTGGGACAGTGGTGTGCTTTGGTTCATTCCCACCCCTCCTCAGTCTGGGGCATTCCTTAATTCCACCCTCCTTTGGCTGCCTGTGGTGCTCGAGGTGTTTTTCCCCACAGATCCTCTTGGCTGTGGGGTGTGGAGGCAATCAGAGCAGACACCTCTGTAGCCCAGGTCGTGTCTCACGTTGCCAGTGACCACATTCCAGCTGCTTTTTCAGGTTGACGAGGCTCTGAAGATCAAGAACACAGATATTGCCAAAGAGCTCTGCCTTCCCCCTGTCAAGCTGCACTGCTCCAGTGAGTAAACCCCGGGGTGGGGGGGACCTCAGCCCTGAGCTCCTGGCTGAGAAAGGAGCCCCTGGGCATAGCACAGCCACTTCTGAAGGTTGTTTTCCAAACTAAGCTGAGCTCGGCCCACGGGAGGAACTTGTTTGCCTTCAGATTTCAGGGTTATTTTGCAGACTCCCAGAGCTCAGCAGGCTGATAAAAAGCCTTGAGGCTCTGAGATGCTGCTGAAGGGCAGTCGCTGCTCTTGTTTTCACAGGATCTTTTGTTCCAAACAGCTTTCCATTGTCCTTAAAACCCCCCCCTTTTGTTTGCAGTGCTGGCCGAGGACGCCATCAAAGCCGCGCTGGCCGATTACAAGCTGAAGCAGGATCCGAACAAAGACCAAGCCGAGAAGAAAGCTAACGAGGCCTGAACTTACCCGGGGAGCTTCTCCTCCTTCCACTTCGATCCGCAGTGCAATCGTTGTAGCCTTTAGACCCCGCGCACCGCTGGAGGGAGCTGTGGGAGCCGCACAACCACGCACAACCTGTCGCTGACCCCTCCTCCCCCGGGCTCCTGCCACCTCCCACCGCCCTGGGGG